TTCCTCTCTCTCTCTCTCTCTCTCTCTCTCTCTCTCTCTCTCTCTAAAAACATAAGAAGGGAGCCATCAACATTTTTTTTTCTCCAAGCAAATGGAAAAAAACAGTTTTTGAAATGAATCCCTGTGAATGAAAAAGAGAAAGATAAAATGAAATGAAATGTGACTACCACCACAAAAAATAAAACAACATTCCATCACCGGCGTGACCTAGTTTGAAAAAATGCTCTATCCACCACATAGTATGCATACAAAAATCTACTATTCACCATTCACCGCCACCACCAATCATTGGAAAGAAGAAGAATGATTTTACTTTTGGCTTTTGGCTGCAAACATGGCGCCGGGCGGGAGTATGTCGAATGTATGATTTTTTCATTGAAAATTTCCAACAAAAAAAAATCAACCAATATACACCCTCTATACAAATATTTACCAACAACAACACCAAAATGGATTAAACCAGAAAAAATAAGGGTCAAATTCGTGTGTCAGACTCGTGGCGTCAAGCGATTTGCATGTTTATCTTGCTAATTTTATCAATGATAAAAGAGAGAAAAAAAATTTGATAACAAAAAAAAAGATTTCTAATCTTTCGATCGATCAACGATGGAAGGAACTTTTACTTTTTTGTTTCCAAAATGAAAAAAAAGTGAAAATTTACATTGAAATTGAAAGCAAAAAAAAATTATGTGGGTGACCGGTTTATACGAAGCAAGGACAACACCCACACATCAGATAACTTTCAATGTCTTAATTTTTTTTTCATGGATGTCATGGATACAAACCGTTAATTTTTTTTTGTTCTTTCCGTATTTGTTGAGGAATTCAGTTTTTCATTTTCACCGTGTTTGATGATAATTTTCATGGTCTTTTTTCACTTTCTCACCATACAATGATGTTTTTTAGACTTTTTTTTTGAAAAAAAACAAGGCGGAGTAATTATCATTATCATCATCAAGTGTTAAAAGTGAAAAATGTGTGTGTGTGTGTTTCAATGTCAAATGACAATGATGATAACGCCTTTGTGGTAGAAAAACAAAAAAGAAAGAAAGATTTTGTTTTTTCTCTGTTTCTTAGAATTAATCAATTCGAAATCAATTTTTGTCCCCATCCCGATTAATTAAGTGTTAAATTTTTTTGTCATCTGTTTTGTTTTAAAATGATGATCAGAATAATAATTTTTTTATTTAACCCAAGGATTATTTTGATTTTATTCAATTCTGTTCCCAATTCTGATTGAGATCAAGGTTATAGTCAGAGAAACGATAACAACAATTTTGTTATTGCTCCAATTGGATCATCATGTCAAACTAATTTGTGAAAGCGAAAAAAATGTCCATTGTTGTCCTACAAAGTGTTATTTTTTTTGTTAACAAAGGATAAATGCATTTTTGTGTATCATCAAAGGGTTAAAATCGGCTTTTTCAAAACATTCTTTGCAAATGATGATGATGCGACAGAAAAATGAAAATCTTTCTTCATCATTATCATCATTAAACCAAGCCAAAATGATGAATCAAAGTTCTACTAACCTCGTTTCTTTCTTCTTTCGACATTTTATTGTCAATATTTTTTTTCCTCTATTGTCGAACCCAGGGTTAAAAAAAATCGACAACATTTTCTACATTTTTGAACTGTCCTGATCAATTATTCTGGGTGTGTATGTTCAGTATGTATATAGCATTTCCAGAATCCAGGTCAGGTCATAGTGCATGACCAATAGGATATTCTATTTTTTTTCGAAAATCCAAGAATATTCTTTATTTCGGGAAAAAAAAATTGAATCTATGCGACATCTAGCGATCAATGTCAAATACCAAATGACGATTTTTTTTGACTGCAGTGGTGATGCATCCAGAAAAAATAAGAAGAAAAAAATTAGCCTCAAATAACGAATGAAAATTGATCCAGCAGTGAAATTGGATGAATCCATCAACACTGGATTCACCGCCTAATAATATTTGAAGGCGCCCATAGTTTAGGTCGCCGACCTTTATATATCAGGGTTTAACGATATATATAGAACGAATGAATGAATGAACGAACGAAAAGACTGAAGACATTGACACTCACACAGAAAATCATGGCCTCGTTTTTTAACACACACTCACCATATACACACATATAGATTTTTTTTTAGGTCCTGACCAACCAACCAAACGCATATTGGATTCAATCATGGTTAATATAATATATAGGATTTGTTTGTTATGGATGCACAAGAGAAAAACTCTCTTCTGAAGCTTGAATGAATACTGAAACCGAACTATGAACTCTTCCATATTTCTATGATGATGATTATGTAAAACAAGTGGCGCCAATAAGCGGACAACAATGGATGATATAACCAGTAAAAAAAACCAGTATTTGGATGTAAATACCCTCTTTCAATCAAGCAAACGATGGAAGGTCATTGTACTCCTTGAAAACAAAAACAAAACAAAAAAAAAGCATCATGCATGCATGCGTGTTATGCATCTCTCAATATTCGTCATGGAAACTGAAAAAATTGGTTATAATATTTTGAACTACGCCATACAGAGGTCACACGCTTTAAAAATCCGAAGCCGCCTTGACAACCAAAAGTTTTTTTTTAACACCGAAAATGAAAACAAAAACAAAAAGGAAAAAGGAAAATTTTTCCCAAAATAAACACAGGTAACAAAAAAGACAACCAGGTATTGTCAACAACAACAACATTTGATGATAAACAAGGAAAAGAAATGAAAAACTTACCTTTTTCGGTGGCGATTTGATAAAAAAATAAGGTAACAAATTACGATGATAATATCACACAAGAGCAAAAAGCAATAAGAATTTTGAAAAAAAACAATCAAGGAAAAATAGATAAATATTCTGGAAAACTAATTTTTTTAGGAAAAATTTCTCTAATTCTAATTTCATTTCATTAATAAAGGAAAACATCAAATAATTTTCATCATTATTATTTGTCCAGTATCATCATTATCATTTCCAATAAATAATATTTGTTTAAAATTATTTTCATTATTAGTTTTCGATGATTGATATTTATGGTTGTTCATTTGGATCGATTCTTGTTGTTGTTGCTGGTAAAATTTTGAAAGAATTTGTTGATACATGATTATAATGGCAATCAAGGATTATTTTTTCTGATGAAATTCTTCTTCGGTGTGACACACAACACGCACACACACGAATAAAAAAATTTTTCGAAAGAAAAATTTCAAAAAAAGGCACTTTGAAAAAAAATTCTTCAAATGAAATTTGATGATATTTTTCTTCTGATCAGGAATTTATTCGGAAAAATTTCATTTCGATTTTTGTCGTTTGGTTGTTGACCGTTCAATGGTTAAGATTCGTATGAAGATTCACTTTGTTGATTCGGGTTTTTAAAACACTCTGGTTTCTTTGGTTTTTTTGACTGTTTTGGTTGGTTGGTTGGTCGAAGAAAGACGAAGATAAAATGATGTGCATGTTTTTCTGTGTTTCGGGTTTTTGATTGGTTAGTTTAGTTTGATTTTTTGGTTAGTTGCGCACGCGCTAGCGACAAAGTTGAATATTTTTTTCTGGTTTTATCATTTTTCACCACCATGAATGAATGAATGATGTGCAATGTGAACCAAACCAAAACGATATTGAATGAATGAATAAATGTCGTCGTCCGCAATAGAACAAAACGCCAGTTTCAGTTCAACGATCCTTATGCTCCTTGTTGTTGTTGTTGTTTGATAATTTTTTGTTGTTTGGTTTGATAAAAATTGACCACGCCATTCCAAATACAGATTGTCTATTGATTGATTGAATTCGACAAAGTGAAGAAAGAAAGAAAAAAAACACAGAAATTTTCTCAAAAATCCATTTGATTGACCTTTACAAAGTTCATGGTCAAGTTCATCGAATAAGCGAATACACGTGATCATCCTCACCATCATCATCATCATCAAGAATTGCCTCTCATCATGATAATGAGATAATCGGATCTTACCTGATGATGATGATGATGATGGTAAGGTCATGAACCTTTGTCCATGCATTGTGTGTGTGTGAACAAAATTCAGGTGTACAAAAACGAAACGAAAGCGAAATTGGAATATTCTCAGCAATTATGTAATAATGAATGAAGAAAAGGTAAAAAGGTAAGTTTGTTAACTTTAGAGCAAAAAAAAAGGTGTGGCTTATTGATGATGAAGGTCACCAACAACAACGATTTACCTTTGTTTTTCTTTTTTTTACCTTTTGTTTTCAATTTCAATCAGTTTTTTTTCTCAACTTTCTTTTCATCCTTTCTTTCGTTACCTTCTTTTTTTTCGGTTGACATTTTATACAGGTGACACGTGACCATTTGATACTTTGGTTAATCGATACTTATAGGGTGTGTCAATGGCAACAACAATAAAGAGAAAACTCCGCCCATTTCCCGCATCATCATTATCATCATGGATGGTTGAATCAACTATTTCGACACACAGGTAAAGGTAAAAAAAAAATTTTGATGATACCCTCTTTTGATAATGATTATTTACAATGATTCATCACTATCTCAGGAATTTTCGAAATCGGATCCTCATCATCATCACCACCACCACCTGAAGCTCGTGTGCTTTTTTTGCCCATTTATCAAAGCATCAAGCATCATCATCCACGACCAAATGTTCAAAGGTCAAGAAACTTTTTTGATTCTTCAACATTACCCTCATATCACATATACGCTCAATGACCATCAAACAAGCATCACACAGATGATGTCAATCTCTCAGTTTTTTATGAACTTGGTCGGAATAAAAGTTTATTTTTAAAAAATTTAAAAAGTTTATTATTCTTTAACTTGAACAGAACTTTCAAAGAAGTTCAAGAAGAACTTTCACTTCACTTCAATGATTTTTTCTTCTTCTCGAAAGTCAGTTCAAACTAACCAAAAATTAACTAAACTAAACCATGGTTCATGAATCATTCAATCAATCAATCAGTGGTTATCGAAAGTACATCGAACTTGAAGCCAAAAAACAAAACAAAATAAAAAACACACCCAAGAAAAACTTGATTCAATCAACCAACCAATTTGATCATCAATGGAAAATGATGATGATGATTATGGTCGACGACCTTTTCGACGATATTCTTCAAATCATTACCATTGATGATGATTTGGTTGAAGAAAACTTGAAATTTTCATTCACTTTTTACATTTTTCTTTTTATTTTTACCAAAGCAGATATATCGAGCAACGACCTGAACAATTTTTGTTGTTTTCTAAACCGAAAATAAACAACAACAACAGAAAAAAATCCAATGTGAATGTACCCGGGTTAAGTGAATGAATGAATGAATGAAAATAACCGCATTGAGAAGAAAAGGAGCAATGAACGATGAATGACTCTGAAATTAAAATTGTATTTTGTTTCGTTTCGTTTTCCCATCGTTGGCTATATAGAAAGATGATCCAAAAGAGAGAGAATAATTCCTCTCTCTCTCTCTCTCTCTCTCTCATTCACTCGGTATATATAGCAAAGTATTTAGTCCGGGTCCCGGCATAAAGAACTTGACTTAGTTTTTTTTTTCTCCGGTTTTTCTATAGTAGACCATGTGTACCAAGGCATTCTATTATTAGAATCCGGAATACAAAAAAATTGCGTGGGCGTTTTGGTTGTTTGAAGGCCAATTTCTGGTTTTATTCTTTTGGTTTTCGGATCATTTGTTTCCAGATCGAAGAACAAACTGAATGTTTTTTTGTTTCATCGAAACAAACCACATAAAAATCCTGATGTGATGATCGTGACCTAAAGATTTTTTCTGTTTTGATCGATGACAAATATATATCGAAAGTCATCATGATGATTGGTAACATACGAAACACACACAGGCTATAACGGTCAACCACTATGACCACCACTGAATGACATGGATTTGCGAAATGACACAGAATGACACCGAATGACATTGTTAAAAAATCAATAATAAAGGTTACCAACAAAAATGAAAAAAAATTATCAATATGGTCAAGGGTCACGTGAGAAAGATTGACCTGTCACTATTTTGTTTTTTTAGTTTAAAATGAAAAAAAAATGAAGAGATCAATGTCAAAATTATGATTAAGATTTTTCATTTTTTTTACCGTCATCCTCATCATCAGCATATCTGAATACAGGATATGATCGTTTTCTCGACAAACAACGGGATAATCAATCAATCAATCAATCAATAATTTTTTGTTTATCTAAAACAAAACAAAACAGAAAANACACAAGCATCACACAGATGTCAATCTCTCAGTTTTTATGAACTTGGTCGGAATAAAAGTTTATTTTTAAAAAATTTAAAAAGTTTATTATTCTTCAACTTGAACAGAACTTTAAAAAAAACTTTCAAAGAAGTTCAAGCAGAACTTTCACTTCAATGAAATGAAAGTCAAGTCAAACTAACCAAAATTGACTAAATCAGTTCAAGAATCATTTTTTCAATCAATCAAATCATCGATTCCATTGATTCAATCAATCAATCAGTGGATATCGAAAGTACATCGAACTTGAAACAAAAACAAGACAAAAAACACACCAAAGAAAATGGATTGCGAGAAACTTGATCCAACCATTCGACCATCCATTTGATCATCAATGGAAAAAAATGGTCGACGACCTTTTCGACGATTCTTCAATCATTACCATTGATGATTTGGTTGAAGAAAAAAAATGGAAAACTTGAAATTCTCATTCACTTTTTACATTTCTCTTTTTTTTTACCAAAGCAGATATATCGAGCAACGACCTGAACAATTTTTGTTGTTGTTGTTGTTTTTTAACCGAAAATAAACAACAACAACAACAGCAGCAGAAAAAATCCAATGTGAATGTACCCGGGTTAAGTGAATGAATGAATGAATATAACCGCATTGAGAAGAAAAGGAGCAATGAACGATGAATGACTCTGAAACTGAAATTGTATTTCGCTTTCCCATCGTTGGCTATATAGAAAGATGATCCAAGAATGATTCGCTCTCACTTGGTGTATATAGCAAAGTATTTAGTCCGGGACCCGGCATAAAGAACTTGACTTAGTTTTTTCTATAGTTGATGCTTTTGATAGACCATGTGTACCAAGGCATTCTATTATTAGAATCCGGAATACGAAATTGCGTGGGCGTTTTTTGGTTGTTGGTTGTTTGAAGGCCAATTTCTGGTTTTATTCTTTTGGTTTTGGCTCATTTGTTTCCCTGATCTAGGAACTAACTGAATGTTTTTTTTATCGAAACAAACCACACAAAAAAAAAATCCTATGTGATGATCGTGACCTAAAGATTTTTTTTTTGTTTTGATCGATGACAAATATTATATCGACAGTCATCATGATGATTGGTAACATACACACAGAGTAAATATAACGGTCAACCACTATGACCACCACTGAATGACATGGATTTGCGAAATGAGAAATGACACAGAATGACACCGAATGACATTGTAAAAAATCAATCAAAGGTTACCAAAAAGATAATTTATCAATATATGGTGAATATGGTCAAGGGTCACGTGAGAAAGATTGACCTGTCACCATCTGAATTTAGTTTAAAATGAAAAAAAATGAAGAGATCAATGTCAAAATTATGATTAAGATTTTCAATTTTTTACCGTCATCACCATATCTGAATACAGGATATGATCGTTTTCTCGACAAACAACGGGATAATCAATCAATCAATCAATCAATAATTTTTTGTTTATCTAAAACAAAACAAAACAGAAAATTTGTTTATGTTATGGCTATGATAAATCAGAAAAAACCGGATGTTACCATGATAACAGCAAAAATATCTCAATCCAATGTATGTATGTTGTGTGCGTTGATATGGATTTTTATGTTTTGTTTTTTAATTTCATAAAAAAAACATAAAAAAGGAATTAACATTGACAATCATCATAGTCATGATGATGAT